CTATCTTGACAGGATAGAACATTGGGCCAAATCTACTAAGGTGAAATTTAATAAGGCTAAGTGCCAAGACTTACACTTGGATTCACTCAACTTCACAAGGACAGAATAGGAAGACGTGGCTAAATAAAAGTTCATCTGCCAAGGTGATATTCCTAAAGCCCAGGTCTGACTATGTTACTCTTATGCTCACTAAACTCCAGTGTCTCTCTGTTACATCTAGGACAAAATACAATGCCCTTTGACATTTGAAGTCTTTTAACAGTCTGGCTCCACCTACCTACCTTTTCAGGTTTATTATAGCTTACACTCCTTCAGAATTTTATGTTCTGTCTGACCTGGCCTTCTTGCTGTCCCTCACAGACTATTCCATCTTCCATCTTTCTGCCTAATGCAGGCCATAACCATGCCTGGAGTGAACTTCTCCATTCTCTTAAAATCTCTACTTTCCTTCAAAACTTGCTCCAGGACTTTCCTGATTTCCTCAGCTACTGGTTTCATTTACACAAATTATATTTGTTTTGTATATACAGATATGCAACTAGGTGGTGTAGTGCATAGAGAATTGGGCCTGGAGTCAAATCCTGAACTCAAATCCAGTCTTAGACATTTACTAGCTGGGTGACCCTGGGCAAGTCACTTAATCCTGTTTACTTTAGTTTCTTCATCTGTAAAATGAGCTGGAAAAGGAAATGGCAAACCCCTCCAATATTTCTGTCAAGAAAACCCCAAATGGGGTCCCAAAGAGTGGAACACGACTGAAATGACTGAACAACAACAGCAGTAACATGCAAATCAACAATCATTTACTATGTACCAGGTACTTTGTTAAGTGCCAAATATATGTACATTTTATCTCACACTATCAAATATAAGCTCCCTGAGGTCAAGGACTTTTACATCTTTGTCTTTAAATCCACAGTGCCTGGCATGTAGTAGGTATTTAATAAATGTCTTTTGATTATTTGGATCTGACAAAGATCTCAGAGTTTTAGTAAACTGGAAATTATGCCAGAGTCATCTTGGATCTCCAAGCCTAGAAAGTTAACATAGTCTTTAGGGGCATAATAGAATTATGGGAGTACTAGGGAGGTACCAGTCCCACTGTCTCTGGTCAGACCATATCTGAAGGATTGTGTTCCTTTTTGTGAACCACGTTTTAGAAAGGATTGTTGTTGTTTGTCCTTTATTCTTGAAGAGGACCATGACTTCGTGGAGGTGATGCCATGACACGCAAGTGAATTGGATTTAAATGAGGGAGGGCGGTGCAAGGTCACAGCCTCACTTGTTCCTCCAGAGCCATCTGGGAGGGATATGGATAAACTGGATAACATGCAGAGGAGTTGCAATCAAGGCAGTGAAGGGCCTTCCAGCCTTCCCAAATGAGGATTGGTCGAAAGAACCAAAGTTGTATAACCAGAAAAAGAGAACACTTAGGGGAAAATGGCATCAGACCCCAAAGATATCATATGGGAAGCTTAAGTTCATTCTTTTTTTTCATGGGCACAGACCAAGAAACACATGTAGAAAATGCAAAGAAGACAATTTAGGCTTGGCATAAGAAAAACCTTTCTAATAATTAGTGTAGAATGGATAGTCTTATAAGGTAGTGGGTATCCTCTCAATGGAGATCTTCAAATAAGATGATTTATTTACATGAAGCATTTTGCAAACTTTAAAGCACCATATAAATTGTTATCATTGTAATTAATATTATTATCTTTCTTAACCAAAGGGTAGATGATCACTTGCTGGATAGGTTGGGAGGGTTTGGAGAGCAGTGGTGTACTGAGAACTGGACCTGGAGTCTGGAACATCTGAGTTCAAATCCGGCCTGCAACACTTAGTAGTGTATGGACATGGATAAGTCACCTAACATTTGGGGATTCAGTTTCCTTAATTATATATGAAATGGTGATGGTGCTTTATCTATGCTTTGTGAATACACACCACTTAGTGCCTTAAAGCACCATTAACTGCTATTTATTATGAGATTATTATTACGTTGGGTTAGAGGCAATGTGGTATAGTCAACAGAATGCTGATTCTATCAGGAAGATCTGGGTTTGGACCCTGCTTCAGATACTTTATTATGTCATCCTAAGAAAGTCACTTTATCTCATTACCGCTTTGTTTCCTAATCTGTGAATTAAGAGTATTGGACTTCAGTGATCTTTAAGGTCCTTTTCAGATATAAATCTGTGATGTGTGATGTTGAGGGAATTCTCATTCAGGTGTAGGTTGGGTGGACTGGACTAGATGAATCCTGAAGATTCCAGGGCAGGGTTTCTGTGAGTCGGGGATAACTTCCCTTGGTACTCAGAGAATCAAGCCACTTCTAGGATCTTAATGTTGCTTCAAAATAGCCCACATATTTTCATTTTCCTCCCATAATATGACAAAGAAAATGAGCCAAAGTCTGGCTTTGCCACTTCTTGTTTATATGACCTTAGGCAAATTTTTTAACTTCTACTAACCTCAGTTTTCTTGTCTGTAATATTAGGCTGTTGGCTAATTCTAAGTGTATGATCCATTTCTGTCAGCAAAGACCAAGTAATTCTCTTTCTTCTCCTTCTCCTTGCCAATCATACAAAGTATTGACAAAAACAAAAGAATTATACCTTCCACTCTTTGAGGAAAGTTTGATTGTTAGTATTATTTTTCTAGTTGACACTGCCATCTTCTCTATGTTCTTACTACTCTATGGACTAGAATTAGTTATGTGCATAAATTCAGGGCAGCTACATGGCTCAGTGGATGCTGGACCTGAGGGAAACTCAAGTTGGAATAACCCACAGATGTTCATTATCTGGGTTAACCTGAGCAAGTCATTTAAACTTTCTTAGCCTCAGTTTCCTCATCTGTAAAACAGAAGTAATAATAATGCCACCTACTTCGCAAGGTTGCCATGAGGATAAGATAGGATAATATATGTAAAGTGCTTTACTAACTTTAAAGTGCCATGTGAATGCTATTAGTTTTGCTATCATAATATCCTGGTCTCATTTCTATTTCAGTATGCACAAAAAACCACCTACAGACACCAAGATAAAGATAGTCTCCCTGATGGGCATCTAGCCACCCTCTCCTGTTCTATAGACTCTTCTTTGCCAGTGGCAAGAGACTTAACCTCAGATGTAATTCTTGCTTTTCAGAAGGGATATTGGCTTCCTTTAACTCAGAGAAAGTGTTTTCTCTTTGTTATTAGCCATAACATAAATGCAACAAAGAAGTTTTAATAATAGGTTAGCAAGTGTTCAGCAAAGCAGAAAAGCATTTCTTTACAAAATCTATACAAAGTCTTTAAAAAAATTTTTGCACTAGAATGTTCTTTCAGAAAAAAAAACTGTGTTTGATAACTGTGGGGTGTCTAAGAAAATTCCCTTTAGAAGATAAACTGCTGGGCCCAAGGGAAAGCATTGAAACTCCCAATTGGCTAATATCCCAAACCACAATAATCTGGTAAAATTATTCACTAACTCCCTTATAATTTGATGGCCAATCCTAAAATAGGTGGCTTTATTTAGTGGCAGGTTCAGTGGAAGAGAGTTAAAAAAAAATACTGCCTGCTTCATTCACAGCATCCAAATGTTCTGCTGCTCCTAATACAGTATCTCTGTTAATAAGCTGAGTGATAGAACTCTATATGCTCAGTCACATGTAAAATGAATCATCCTACAGTTTTGGAGAGGTTTCCTATTTTTGCTTAATTAAGCAACCAATCCTTTTGGCTAGTGGTTTCTTGTCATTCTCAGAGCTACCATGCATGATAGCAGAATCTCTGGGAAGTGTATCCTTTATGAATAGTAGCAAATATAAATTAAATAATTCTGATCTTCCCCAAGGCAGTTGTTTTTTTTTTACATCTTCACTGATTTTAAGAAGAAATTTACATGCAATTACAAAATTGGAGGCAGAAAAAATAATTATTTTGGTTAAATTCACTAATTTAAATGGTTAATTTAAAATGCCTATGCAATACTGTACATGTGCAAGTACTCTGGTGAGTATTGGCCCTTCAAAGACAGCTCCTGTCTTCAAGAAGCTTGCATTCTATAGAGAAGAATCAACATATAGACAGAGAAGTTAATACACAACACGAATGCAGCAAATACAGAGTAATTTAAGCAGTGGAAGAGACAATATTACTAAGGTAGGGATGGGGCAAGAAAGGAGTGGCAGTGAGGGAAAGACAAGGACTTGTAACAGGTAGCAAATGAACTGAATAATAATATAAATAGTATTATTTATATTATGCTAATAATAGTATAAATAATACAAATAAATTTATATAGCACCTTTATGTGCTAGTTAGTATGCTAAGTGCTTTTCAAACATTATCTCCTTTTAACCTCGCAACCATTCTGGGAGGTAAATGCTATTATTATTCCCATTTTATAGAAGAGGAAACAGGCTAACAGAGGTTAAGTGACTTGCCCAGGGTCATACAGCTAGTGTTTGAGGTAACATTTGAACCAAGGATTACAAATAGCATAAGTAAAGACAATAGTGTCATTTATTTAGTAAATGTTCTAGAGCACCCATTGTTATTAACCAATTAACCAACAGACATTTATTAAGTACCTATTCTGTGCCAAGGGGTAGTGGAATGAGACATAGTCTTGAAGCCAGTACTACCTGGGTTCAAGTTTTACCTCTAACATGTAATTGGTTGTGTGACACTGGGCAAGTAATTTAACTTATTCCCAGTACTCTAGGTAGCTGTCTAAAAGTAGAAGTAGTATAGAAGGTACCAACCTGCATTGGTAGGTGTTTCCCCACTTGGGAGCTTCCTGTAACAAAGAAATCACAGATCCAGTCCCTATCCTGTACTATGTTCTAGACACCATGCTTAGCTAATGTATTGTTTCAGGTAAGGCCTCATTCTCATGTTACTTTCATTTTAAAGATAATAGTCTTATACAGTGACTGAAAAAGAGATTTCTATATTGTCGGATTATAAAGCTTTATTAATAGATCACCACTATGTGTTACTTCTTTAGAATACCTCTAAATGTCAGAGATATCGTCTATTGTACGGGAGTCTCACTATTAGATGAAGATGTCTGGGAGTTCATCTGGATGAAATTTCACTCCACGACAACAGTATCTGAGAAGAAAATATTATTGGAAGCCTTAACTTGTAGCGATGACAGAAACTTATTAAATCGGTGGGTCATTCAAGTTCTTTAAATATGTCTGTGGTCATATTAGCATACTTGACTAATGTCCCTCTCTAATCTCTCCTCCTGGCCAACAGGGGACCTTGGGTCCTCAAAGAATCTGCTAGTGGAAAGGTTCGTCTGACAGGTCCTGAAAACTAGAAGATTGGGTGCTAACTTGGCTTTTAAGCCAAGGATCAGCCTAGCTACATTCAGTGAGACTCTTCATCAGAGAGTTGACCATTATTTTTTGGTACCCAGCATCTCCTCAAAATAGACAAAAATCATGGAGACTTTAAGTGTTAAAGAAATATTGGCCAGTTGAATTAAGGAAAACAATTATGGCTACAACTTTTATTTTATAAAGGAAGGAATGCCACTTTAAGAACACTAAGTTTTTTTTTTTTTAATTTGAAATGATCAAATAAATAGCAATACATAAAGAGTAGTTCTGAAAAGCACAGTTCACCATGTAGTTCAAGGATGTCATGCATAAAGCCTCTAGGCCAAGTCAGTCTGGCCTAGTAGTGTTTTAAAATTCAATTTTAATCCAGTTAATTTATTTCCTATTAAATAATGTTAGTCTGACTCCCTTGACCCTAGACTCCTCTTTGAAGAATGTGACAAATTCAATTATACTTTTTTAAAACAAGATTGTCTCAGATGAAAAAATGTCAACTGACTAAAAATCATCTCCTTCTTATCTTCCTACCCTCATTTTATATTTAAAGGCTTCTGAATCTATCACTGAATTCTGAGGTTGTATTGGACCAAGATGCAATTGACGTCATAATCCACGTAGCTCGAAATCCTCATGGCAGAGATCTTGCATGGAAGTTTTTCAGAGATAAATGGAAGATATTAAATACCAGGTAGAAACAAAAGATAACACTTTCATACCTGAATAAATATATGGATGGTGGCCCACAGTGGAGTGGGACCCAATATTTTTTGAGGTAACCAAAAGCCAAAAAGGGGGCTTCTGGCTAGATCAAACAAAGCTTTAGGGTCTACCTCCATGAAACTTAGAATTACTTGCAGTACCCGAAGTCAGACATAACTGAAATGACTGACCGTAGAGGAAGTATGTGGGCATTATGATAACTGGACAAAATTTTAATTATCTAGGAAAGATTATTAGGAGGACATATGGTATAGTGCATTGAGGGCTAGACCTGGAGTCATGAAGACCTACGTTCAAATTTTATCTTAGACACTGGTTGTGTGACCTTAAGAAAATTTCTTTACCTTTTTGGGCTTCAGTTTCCTCAGCTGTAAAATGAGGGAATTGAACTCAATAGTTTCTATGGTCCCTTCCACCTCTAAATAAATTATCCTGTAACACTACTGAGTATCTTTAAAAATCACCAGCTGGCAACACATGAAATAGATAGTTTTGTGGTTAAGGGAGCCTATGTAATTTTTCAGGTTTCTAGACACAGTTACATTCCCTCTAGGGGCTCTTTGTTTCATGGTGAGATTTCTTTAGTCTCATGTGTTTGATTTTATTAAATATTTGAATATTTTCTAATGAATGTTAATTTAATGCAGTGATTATCTCAGTGGTGCTTTAAAATTGAATTTATAATCAAGCATGTAAATACTGGATAGAAGGATAAGAATTGTCTGAGAGCAATTATTTCCCTTCTGAATTTAATTGTCCCAGGATTGTCTAGAGAAAGAGTTGTTTTCTTTCTAAAAAAAAAAAAAAAGGAAGAAAGAAATGTCTTCTAAGTTTCATAATATGTAAGTTCATCTTTATCAGCCCCTTGAACATAAGAGGTCTTTTCCAAGAGGATGTGTTAATCTTAATGTGCCCTTGGACATACAGACATCTCACTGTCAAATAAAAGTATTTATACTCCTAAAAAATAGGTTTTTTTACCTGCATTTTCAGTGTAGAACCCTGAGTGGTGGGCAACTTTAGTAGCTGAAAGATTTCATGTGTCTGAGAGATTCTTAAAAAAAAAATTGAGGTAATGATATATATTCAAAAATAAAATTATTTCAAATTAGCAAACTCCTAGTAATACTAAGACATGGGGGTTCTTGATCTAACATCCATGAACTTGTTTTTAAACATATATATATGAATATGTAAATTAAAATTTATAAAAATTTACAAATTATATTATATAGTACATGTAACATATATTATATACATATATGTTTAGTATTTCAGCATAATTGATTTCCTTCATAAACCTATGTGTTTCAAAACATTCAAAACATTAAAGAAACATTTGAAAATATTTACCTCGTTGAGTTCACCTTCTGTAAAAAACATTATTTAGGAATCCAGAGGCATCACCACACTGCCGAAGAGGCAGTCTTCATGACAAAAAAAAAAAACAACAAACACTAGAACTTCTTGCTAATACTCTTTTTTGGTAAATTAGAATTCACTATATACACATAGGTTCAAGCCAGGTTTTAGTATTGTTACTACTAGAATATCCAAAAATATTCTAGTGTGAGACACATTTCACTTATAAGATGGTCAGGGCTATAGCATGGACCTCATAGATAATGTTATGCAGAGCATGAGTTTATTTATATATAAAGTAGATGAAGGGTTTTTATTAACAATAGCCTAGAAAATCATTTTTAACATTGTTGTATTGAATTAAATACCATTTGGTGCCTATTCTTTATGGATTATGATAATTGGTGCTATGGAAAGACTGAATAAGTCCAGGGCTCAAAAAAGTTATGGCTTAAGGGTCTTCAAATTTGCCTGGGCTGATTCCCATAGGCCTCTTTCTATCGCTTCACATATCTGGAGACTTGAGTAAATATGCCTCTAACTGTCCTCCATACACCAATAAGATTCTATCAGTGAAGATATAAAACTGCCCTTTCAAAAGTCATTAAATCGCTCTTTTTGGTTTTTGTTCAGTCATTTCAGTTGTGCCTGGCTCTTGTAACCCCATTAGGGTTTTTTTTTGGCAAAGGTACTGGAGTGGTTTGCCATTTCCTTCTCCAGCTCATTTTACAGATGAGAAAACTGAGGCACAGAGAGTAAAGTAACTTGCACAGGATCATACAGCTAGTATGTGTTTGAGGCTGAATTTGAACTCAAGTTTTCCTGACTCCAGGCCAGGCACTCTATCTATTATACCACCTAGCTGCCCCTATCACTCTCTAAATTGGTTCTGTTCTGATTCCCTTTGGGCACATGGGCTATTGTTCATGTTCATGAGTGTTTTACCCTGAGTGAATGGGAAATGGGAGTGTACAGACACTTCTTGTAACACAGAGCTCTGGCATTACCTCTTTCTTACAGTTTTGATGTGTTTGAAGAGATCCCAGGCTCTAAGATAACATAACTCTTTTACCTTTTCATTTGGAATATACACCTCAATGGAAATTTGTTTTGTAACCATGTTAGCTGACTTCATAAAACAGGGCTTTTCTGATTTTGTAAAAAGTCACTTAAGAGATTTGACAGATGGCGTAATGACAAAGAAATACTAGAATCAATGGACAGGCATTTATTTAGTACTTACTATGTATCAGGCCCCCTGTACTAAAAGCTGGGTTTGCAAAAAAGATACCCTCCCCCCAAAAAAGACCCTGTCCTCAGGGAGTTTACATTCTGATGGTAGAGGAAAGCATGGAAATAAATATAAGCTTCATATAGAGGAGACAGAAGGTAACCTTGGAGAGGAAGTCTCTAGCAATTGGAGTATGCCAAGGTGAAGGTTAAGGTAGGGGACTGAGAAAGGCTTCCTACTGAAAGAAACATTTGAACCGAATCTTGAAGAATGCCGGTTGACAGTAAGGAGGGAGATCATTTCGGTCGTAGAAAACCCAAGACATAGGTTGAACTACCTGCCTTCCTATAAAGAAAAGACTCTCTGGCAAAGGTCTTAATAGTTCAACCTAGCTAAATTGGTGGAAAAGGAAATGAATCATTACAATGTCCTTCTAGTTGTCTTAATTTATTTTGAAATCCAAAAACTAGAAGCTGTTGTCAGCAGTTGTAAAGGGGAGCTTGGTTTGCTTTGATAGTACAAACATTTTGATCTGGAGACTATCACTAGGAAAAATAATGACGGGTAAAGACGAAAGGGGAGCTTCTGAAAAGAGTGGTGAGCTTGCTAAGATCATATACATATTGGCCATTTCATTCTCCAGCATAGCCCTGGCTGCGGGCAGCCGGACTGCTTTAATGTTCCAAAAGCATTAAGGTTTTCCTCTTAAAGAACAGACTTGGGAGCATAGTACAACTTCATTTCAGCATTTCAAGTTTAATTTTAACTTGAAAGCCAAGGAGTCTTCTTTGAAGTATACTCCCACGCCTAGCAGCCGGACAGTGTTCACCTTAGGGTTCTGTAAACAAAGGAATAAAGAGTATTGACTGATACCCAGCTGGTATCAACCGGAAGCCGGGGATGAGGATGGGGAATTTGGGTGGAGGAAGCCTTCCATGGGATTATGAAAATTTTTCATGACACTTCTGAAATCATTGCATCTGCTGATATTGAAATATTTCTTTTTCTTTTCTTGGAGATATGGAGAAGCTTTATTTATGAATTCCAAGCTCATCAGTGGAGTCACAGAATTTCTTAATACAGAAGGTGAACTCAATGAGGTAAATATTTTCAAATGTTTCTTTATGCTTTTAAAACCTTTCTTCCACTTCTTCCCAGAAGACTAATTCTTATTGTTTTAAGGAAAGAAACCTATAAAAAACAAGAGTAAAATCTAATTGCTTTTCTCAGACAATTATTTATGAAGTTCTTATCTGAGAGGCATCAATGGTTGCAATAGTTTTTAATTTTTTAAAAAAGTTTAAAAATTAATTCTATCCAGGTACTATGGTAAAGTGGGTCAAATGCTTGAATTGGAATCAATAAGATCTGAGTTCATAGCTTACCAACTAATTAACTTTGTGACCATAAGTAAGTCACTTAACATTTCTGAGTGCCAGGCAAGAAAGACTTCAAGCTTGCAATTTACACCAGTGCTGGAAATAGCACACTGGTAATTCCCACACTTTTGAAAATCTCAATTATCAGTGCTAAAAGAGGGGAAAACTGTTATGTATATAATCCCCAAATCACTGGTTTGCTTTGATTGAGTTTTTTGTACTTACACTTAAATATGAGAACTAACATAGTATAGTGCACCTGTGGGGAACCTGGGGCTTCGAGGCTACATGTGGCCTTCTAGGTCCTGGGGTACAACCTTTTGACTGAGTCCAAGTTTTATAGAACAAATCCTTTTATTAAGAGGATTTGTTCTGTGAAATTTGGATTTCGTCAAAGGGCCACACTTGAGGACCTAGAGGGCCACATGTGGTCTCAAAGCTGCAGGTTCCCCACCCCTGGTATAGATAGAGAGCTCTCCTTGAAGCTGGGAAGAACTGAATTCAAGTCTCACCTCTGGCCCTAGGCTAATGATTTCACATAAATTACAAAGAAGGTTCCAACATGGACTGGTAGAGCAAATTTCTTCACCTGGAAGTTCTGTAGGCAAATACAATTTCAGGTCCAATTTCTATCTATATCACTATATTTAAATATGGGTGTGTCACCATCTTAGGAAGCAATAACATTAAAAACTGACTATAAATCACCCTGATGTTCTGCCTCAGAGATTTTTTTTTTAAAGCACCTTTTTTCAATTATTTTCTCTATTGGAATTAGGCTACCGAGCTGTATCCTAATACCCTGGCTCATCATTCTCTCTCACTGAGAAGTAGTGGGAGCAGAGCTTTCTGCTTTCCCTAAGTCTGCTCTGGCTTACACCCCTGGGAAATGGGCAATGCAGTTTAATGTTTGAGTTTAAAAGGCTTTTCCTGCAGACTGACCCAGTGAGCAAGGAAGGAACTTCACACCTTCACTTTCTCACTGGCAGGAGGATGCTTGATTCAGAGCAAATCTTAACATGGATGACTCAGGAGATAAAGTAAACAAAGGAGTTGCAATCACCAGCAATCATTCCCAAGGTCACTGAAGAAAGTTTAAAGACACACAACAACTAAACCAGAATCTGATGAGAGATCGATAGATAATAGAAAGTAGAGTGGAGAATTGTGCCTGCAAACCTTTTCCTTTGCTAAAAATAATCAGGAATCAATACAAAACAGATGAAAGACTTTGATCAATATAACTTTAACACTAGAAGGACCAAGAGCATCAATTGATACATTTAAAAAAAATAATTTTACTACAATTTATTCCATCTGGACAAATGTACTTTAAATGCAGATAATTTATTGTTGTTGTTCAGTTGTTTTGGACTTTGTGACCCCACATAGGATTTTCTTGGCAAAGATACTGGAGTGGTTTGCCATTTCCTTCTCCAGCTCATTTTACAGATGAAGAAACTGAGGCATGCAAGGTTAAGTGACTTGCCTAGGGTCACATAGCTGAGACTTCCTAACTTCAGGCCTGGTACTCAATCCACTGTACCACCTACCTGTTCCATAAATAATTATGAAATATTTTAATTTTACTGTGAAATAAAATTTTTCATCCATTTTCTTTGCCTTAATTGATAAAAAATTACAGCGTCAATTGAGACAGCTTGGTCCTTTCAAGTAAGCCGACAGGTGCCTACAATTAAGTCTTTACCCGTAAAGGACTCCCAAATAAGTAGGTAATAGCTGGTATATAAATAAAGATGATGCTATTGAAGCATAATTAAAACATTATAGACTTTGAGTTTTCTTTTTCAGTAGTAGGGATATGTTTAACTGTTCAATCTGTCCTTTTTTACTCCTTTTCCTTGTGGCCAAAGTTGGGGGCAAAGTACATCGTAAGTGTGGGGTAACCTCCATTGATATGGACTCTCGTGAAATTAACTGGCTCACTTGGGAATGGAATTAGCATGGCTTTCTCAACACCAAGCACTAAATGCCTGAGCCACCCAACAGAGTATGATATGGTAGTCTAGTAAATTAATGCTACCAGCTGCATAGAGAGCCAAATATCCAAAACCGGGGAAATGATGATCCTGTTCAACTCTGCCTTGGTCACACCATATTTGGAATATTGAGTTCATGTCTGGGCACCACAGTTTAGGAAGGATGTTGATAAACTGGAGAGTACTCAGAGGAAGACGACCTGGATAGTTAAGGGCCTCAAGGTCATGCTGTGTGGAAATTAATTGAAGGAACTGGAAACATTTAGACTAGAACAAGGCTTTCAGTGGGGGAATAATACATTTCTTTGAGTATTTAAAAAGACAAGCATGTGAAAAAGTGATTTGCTTATATATGTTTGTCCCCAGAAAACGAAACTAGGTGCAATGGGTAGAAGCTACAAAGAAGTAAATTAGGCTTAACCTAAAGAAAAACTTGCTAATAGTTAGAGCCATCCAGAGGGCAATGGACTTCCTCAGGTCTTGGTGACTTTCCCTGCCCTACCCTTTAATAAATGTCTTTAACAAGTGGCTGATGACAACTTGTTCTTGTATATTGTATATTGTAGGCAAAGATTCTTATTTAAGTAGAAGTTGGACTCAATGTTCTGAAGTCCCTTCCAATTTGGAGATTCTCAGAGATTCTGTTATATCCAATGGACTATGGCAGGGGTGGGGAATTGGTGACCTTGAGGCCACATGGGGCCCTCTAGGTCCTCAAGTGGGATCCTTTGACTGAATCCACACTTCACAGAACTATTCAATCAAAGGGCCACACTTGAGGACCTAGAGGGCCCCATGTGGCCTTGAGGCTGCAGGTTCCCCACACCTGTAAGATTAGAATATATGTGTATGTGTGTGTGTGCATGTGTGTGTGTATGATATATATAGATGTATATAGTTTATGATTACATATATACATAAGTACATATACATGTATATAATTTATAGTTATCGCTGTAAAATAATGTGTTGGATTTTGTATGTATATAGCTTTATCCAGAGGCAAAAAAAGGGAAAAAATAAAGTTCTAGCTCCTTCATTAAGTAGCTGTGTGATATAGGACAAGTCACTTACTCTCTGAGTCTCAATTTTCTCATCTCTAAAATGGGGATAATAATATTTTCACTATCTACCTCATGGTCCAGTTGTGGAGGTCCTTAATGTGCTATTTAAATGTAAGCCATTATTGTTCCTATAGAATCCTGTAAGTTTCTATAGAATTATTCACATATAGGAGAGATCCCTGAATATATGAATAACTCAGTTCACTTCCCAGAGTCTTTAAGCTGAATGGATTTGTCTCTCTGTGTTGAAGGGGGTGTGTCTGACATTACTAATTGAGATTAACAATTTGTTCTGTGAAAAACACATTATTTGGGACAATTACAAATTGATTTGGTGCCAACACTTGGAAGTTGGCTCTATTCCATACAACTGGGTTGGAAATTCAGAAGAAGAAAACTGGCTGATTGGGGGGACTTACAATTTAATTGTTAGATTTAAAAGAAATTTTTCAAATCAAAAGTGACTTTGTTTTCCTGTGGCTGTTCATGGATTATCTATGTTGTCGATGTTTTCTTCCTCCCTCTCCCTCTCCATATTTCTCTCTCTCTCTCTCTCTCTCTCTCTCTCTCTCTCTCTCTCTCTCTTCTCTCTCTCTCTCTCTCTTCTCTCTCTCTTTCTCTTTCTCTCTTCCCCCCCCATTCTCTTTCCTCCTATCTTCATTGGACAATTTTGGAAATTTAAACTATTCAATTTTACTTGGCAGTGTATATAGTAAAAGCGCATTGGGGAGGATGTTTCAAATACTATCTAAACAAACAGGTGGAATTCAAATATCTCTGTTCTTTCAATCCATGACGACAAATAACTGAAAGCTGGTAATATGATAAACCATGCTTTTCTCAAGTTTTACCAACAGAAAAGCTGACCTCTCAGAGTCAGGCTGGTGTCTCTCTCGTTGTTCTATATCCTTCTGCAATTACTCACAATTTCATTTTTCGTACCCACCGATATTGTTTGATCCTCTATGATAGCTATGTACTGAGCCAACATGTCCAAAACTAAAATCATCTTTCCTCCCAAATCAACTGCCCTTATGAGTTTACCTATTACTTTGGAGGGTGCTACTAGCCACACCCAAGGCCACAACCTCAGTGTCATATTTAACTCCTTTCTTGCTCACCACATATCCCATCAATTGCCAAATATAGTCTATTCTACTGTACACAACATCTCTTGTATATGTCCTCTTTTATCTACTCCTGAGACTACCAGCCCTGTTTAGGGTCTCATTACTTCTTACTTGTATAATTATAATCGTCTTAAGTCACTCCTCACTCTACAGCATCCCTCACAAAGCTGCCAAAGCTAATTTCCTAAAGTACAGGTAGAGCTACCTGACTGTGTTACTTCCTTACCCTCAATAAATGCCAGTGACTCCCACTTACTTTAAGGATTAAATGTAGACTCCTGTATTTGTATTTACAGCTCCTTACAATATGCCCTTCTTACCTTTCCAGTCTTTTCACACATCACTCCTCTCTGTGCACTCTGCATTCCAACCCTACTGTTCTACTTGCTGCCTTTCACATATTCCTTCATTTCCCATCTTTGTACCTTTGCACTCTCTGCCCCCCATGCCTGGAATAATCTCCCTCCTTTACTTCTGCCACTTAGAATTCTTGGCTTCTTTTAAGACCAAACTTAAGTTCCACCTTC